ATAGGCACGTTGATAGTTATGTAAATGAAGACGAATCTAAATCGAGTTAAAAATATTTGCGATAAGATTCCTAAACTGTTGAGGTTTGTTGCACTCTTGCTGATAAGGCTTTGGAAGTTGAGCTGGCGGGTAAACATTATTTTTTAGTCACGAGGTTGCCTTTGGGACATTTTTTATTTGGAATATTAAATCGTTGCGTCAAATTTTTTTTTCCGTCTTAAAAAAATAACGAAGTGACTATTTATATCCAGATTTTGCCAATGTCCCGTATTCAATAAGACTAGAAAGTAGTAAAATATTTAATTATGTCTTAGATTTGTTATTTACAGTTTTTATACAAAAAATGTGGAAATGGCTATACATTGTTCAGATAAAAGTTATCTTGTATGTAGTTCAAAGATCGGAATATCTAAAAAGGAGCACGAACGTAAGTGTGATAGAACTGATGATAGGTAAGGTACCTAATGTTGATTTAGAGAAGGCGCTGTCAAAATTACAGAGGAAATTAATTTTTTAAGTTCTATCCGTAAATGCTAGTTACCTTCAGGAAAAACTACCTCAAATGTATGTTATTAACTATTCTGAAACTATTTCAATAGATGGACAACCCTGTGGACGTACTGAATTGTATGCTATTAATACTCGTTCGTCATCAAATTAATAGCATTACAATAAGTAATGATTTACTTTAGGTAAATATGTACCTCATTATGACGGTAATTTATTGAATCAAAATCCAGAGAGGAAAATGAAAATTATTTTGCGTCTTGTTATGACAAAGACACGCAAGTATTACAGCAAATCTTCATAAGTATTACCTATTGAAATATAATAAATTTAAGTCTTAATTTTTACTTGTAAAGTAGGCAGGTAATTATAGGGCAGGTAATGTTAGTATTGGGAACCCAAAAGTAATCTTAATTCTTAACAAACTCTACGGCTTTTAGTAATTTAATTAAGAAGGTAATGTGATATGGATAAAAACAAAACGAACACTAGATGAAAGAAAATATAATGAAGAGTATGCACAAATTGTTTTGCCATCGTAAACTTTTTTCAAAGTCATATTAAAGCGTAATATTGTGGTTAATCTGAGAATTGAAGCATTAAAATAAATTCTCCTTTAGTGAGAAATTAACTAGTCATTAACTCCTAAGAGATGTAACGAATTTCTCCAAACGCATTACTTAAAATCATAGGCATGCGTCGAATTCAACTCGAGTCAGTATCGTGTAGCATATACGCTATCGCTGCACGCTGCAATTAATGATTGTAATACTCACGTGAGCGGAAATGGACCTTATTCTTTGGGGATTGGGTCTAATTAGTGAACACAATGACGTCCGTGAACGCACCAATGATACCTGCGTTGGGTTTAAACTCGCACGGAACACGTTTGGCGCGTCGCACGCGCGCGAACTAACTGACTTCCAATTGGTCATGTTGGTCCCACCGAGCATGTGACCGCGCCTGACTTCGTGATGTGATCATTGCAGTGTTTATTGAAGCGTTTATTCCACTACCTACTACTTTTTTTCACTTAAAACCCGCAAGATAGATTCAAGTTTGAAGAACAACCGTTAATTGGCACTGTATTTATAATTGCGTTCAAACACTGTCCAAAGTAAAATTATTATTAAATTACCAACAAAAGGATGATGGGCATATTGGGCGTTAAACCAACAGAAACAAAAAGTATAATAAATTAAAGCTTAATACTAGTACTTCATTTCATAGTATGACAACAATCCTGAAATACGCCGGGATACGGAGATAGAGGTCGTTGAATATGCAAAGTTTCCATAGTATTTCACATCACATTGGGGTAATAAAAATAGTATTAGGTCTATTAGATTGCTTTTATCGATCATATTGAGAGTATTGTATCATATCTTACTATCGATTCGATCGATTTAGTAAGTATGTATACCGAATAAATCATAATCGATTATTCGATTGCAATAATCGATTATATTGCTGAAAATAAGGAATTGAATTAACAATGAAATGATAGTAATGATGGTAATCAATAAAATCGATTAATCGAATTGTTAATCGATAAATCGTTATTTGGCAACATCGATTAATAATCGATCCGTGATCGATTATGCGACAACACTACAACTTAACTGGTAGAAATCCCATTGAAACATGACTGTGTTGATGTCATTTCTCTAAATGGTACCTAGGTATGGTCCTACGCTTATAATGTAGAACATGGTTTAAATATACATTTGTTGGCCCCACTCCTGAACTGTTGGACATAATAATGGATAAATAACTTAATGTATTTAAAATGTAAGTAGATAAGTATATTAATTAATAATATTTTTTGTTTGCGCAATAAAGCACCTATTACTATTACACATTATGTCAATTTCCAAGCAAACCCGGGAGTTTTTGGTAGTTATTTATATGAAAATATATTTCTGATATTAAGTCCTAACAAATAATAGTAGTTACATTTCTGTTGGTTTTACGCCCAGATTCCATAGAAAAGTGCCCATCATCCTTTACTTTCCCAAAATATTCAACAACGCAGAAAAAAAAGAAATTATTAAAAGAAAGTTGTTTAAAATATAAAATTACTCACGTGAAGAATATTGCAGTCTTCAAACAATAACGACGGGCGACTGGTTGAAACGAGCGGCGATTCCGTATCAGCTGATGATAAGGAAGATGACAGCTATCTCGTGATTTCGCCGTGCGGTTGGTAGCACTGCCGCCGCCGGCGCAGCCTCCGGCCCATCGTTATGTAAACACACACGCGCCCCCATCACAATATCTGCTGCAATCGGACGCATACAAAAGTTTAAAGTTGAATGATTCCATCCTATCCAAGTTACAAAGTTGCAAGCTTTTACATGCAAATGCTGGCATTTCCATAAATAACAAAGGTCGGTTATGAAAATGAAAACAACAAAGATACTTTTCGATCGTGATAATAGCAGATTATTCAATCTTCAACTTGTTTACTTATCCTCAGATAATATCATAGTGATATCTGTGATAGTGAAATTCTCAGTCTGCTACAATACATTTTCATCACTAACAATCGAAGAGTAACAATCATGTAATAAGAAATAAAGAAAATCTTAAGAATAATCTCACAATATAAACTTTAAAATATTTTTATTGCATGGTTCCAATCCAGCGCCTTATTTATCAATGAATTATATTTAATCGCTCATAAACATTTTTGTTTTAACACTAGAAAGGCCGCCGTCCCATTTTTGTCCCACTCGCGAGTTTGATCGTCTCTAACTTTTTTATTTTTCAACGAAAGTCCATGAAACTTTTTGACTTTTCCTGATTTATTGAATTTTATCATTTTTTAATGTTTTTGATAATATAACATTATTAGAAAAAAAATTAAAATCGGTTTTACCTAGAAGCGCCACTGGGTCATTTTTGTCCCACCTTGGTATTTGCAACAATAATTCGATGAAGAGTCCTTGTTTCGAGGAAATACGAGAATGGGGAGGTGAGGAACGTTTAGGTGACTCATCACAATGCAGAAATGTAATTAAATTGTACTAGTTTTTGCCTGTGACTTCACCTAGTGAGAAATTAAGTTTATCATAGAAAGACCTAATTTCTTGACACTTATCGTTGTTATTTGACCAAATAACTGAATATTATTGTTATTTATAGACTATATTATGTTATTCTGAAATATTAACAATAAAACTGCAAAGTTTTATTAAGATCGGCTTAGTATTTTTTGCGTAAAAGAGTGAAAAAACAACAATGGATCTAACCATGAATCCACACTCACTTAGTTCAAGTTCAAGGCTTAAATCCACCCATTCATCCTTTCTATTCGTTCATCGGTTCATCCATCCATCAATTCATCAATCTTTATTAACTTTTACATTTATAATATTAGTAGGAAGGTGACTTCAAGACATGGGCCAGTTCATACATTGTATGATTTGATACATTTTTAAAATGTGTGACTTATAATTTTTTTTAAATTAAACGTACATACTTTTCATTGTAACTGGTAAAAAACTTCACTGTGTGTGTACGGATAACAGAAAAATAACCATACCTATAGAAGTTCCTAAACACATAGTAGACCAGAGAGACAAAAAAACCATACAAAAAAACTTTGTGCAAAATGTGCACTATTATTTGTAAGATATTTATTATTTATTCAAAAAGAATACTGAATAGTTAAATTAGTAATTTCATAGTTTTAATACAGTATAACACCATGTAATATGTGACTATTTTTTTATGAAACCAAAAATATCTGTCTCTTAATAATTCAAAATTAAAATTGAATAGATTTATATTTTTAAAGAAATAAGTACATATTGATTTAACTATTTAGATAAACCATTTTTTAAGGATACCACAAATAGTTTTAACCATAATGTTCATGCCTGAAACTAAAAAATGTTACTAAATATATGCTGGGACAAAATTGACCCAGCGGCGCTTTTAGGGGGGTCGTAATCTTCGGCACTTCTAGTGTTAAAGGACAAATATAATTATTTCATAAATAGAATGTAAATGTTGTAACTCACCTTATAAACATCACTAGGAAAATGTAGGCTTTAAGTATAAGAGTGCATTTTGTTGTAAAGCATACAAACAGCAAAAATATGACAATCATGTCCAATTTTATTAAAAACAATATCCTGTACCCAAAATTAATTAATATAAAGATAAAAAAAGCATAACCATTTATGAAAATCATTCGGGAATCGAAGCAATAATCTATAAAAGTAGGTAATTCGTCTATTTAGTCTACAATATCATCTGTCACATAAAATAGATCACACAATATAGTATTTTGGACTATGATGTGATGTAGTTCTTAACAGAAACTTAAAACTGATATTTTAATTAAACAACTTTAAAAAATCGAAACTGCCTAAGGCGGGACTCGAACCCACGAACTTCGAACCATGAACGTTCAAGTCCTGCCTTAGGCAGTTTCGATTTATTCAAGTTGTTTATTTAAAATTTAGTTTGAGAAGTGACTCTATTCGCTAAGAAATTGTAATAACATTTAAAACTGATAGATCTAGATTCTAGATACAAAATAATCATTAAAAGATGACATATTTATGTCAAACCCGTGTTCGATTAGCAATTAACAAGGCAATTATCATTGATAAGTGATAACAAATCACTCGACATGGAGATAGGAGTAGTAACGATTAATTCGAAATTAGGAATGGTCTTACAGAACAAAAACATTAATTAACCGACGCACAAATCGTTAGAGTGATAAGGCCCTTAGGATCAGAAAAAGCCATTAAAATTAAATAATTTGTACGAGCACAGAAATTGTAATTTTTTCAATGCGTGTAATCCCGAGAGCTAAAGAATCAATCTAGAAAAAATATATATTTTTACTACAAACATGGCATAAGTCCTATTGTAAAAAATAATATAACAAAAAATATGGCAGGTACTTAGGTAAATAAAAACTAAACACAACTCAATAAGTACATCACATTTACGTATTTACGCAGTCAGATAAGGGCCGTTTATTATATTATGCATTAATTATAAAGCAAAAAATAATAATAATATAAAAGTTAAGTTCTACCACCACGTAAGACATTTTTAGCAACTTCACAGGAGTTTGGACGAAACGACGTGTCTTTCGACTCTGTGGCGAATGGCATTAAAATGAAAAATCGCCAAAAATGATTTACCTACGTGTGGTGATAGAACATAACATGGGAAAAATTGGCCCTTACATTAAACTAACATTTTAGGTCAGTTTACAAATAACATTTCTGATCCAATTTAAATTGTAACATTTGAAAAATTACTAGAATTATAAGTGTCAGTAACTAACTTTGGATAAAGAATTTACTAAGTTAATAACGAAATTACTTAGTCTATGTTATTACGTTTGGTGTCTATTTCTTTAAGAACTCTTCATACATTTGCTACCTTATTTATATCACCATTTCATGGACCTGAAACAATTTTGTACTATTTTGTTAGTTATATTCTCTAATTTTCTTAATGCAGCAAAATAATTCCATTCAAATATTGCATTTTAACTTGTAATTTAGTAAACAGTGTGCCTAGCCTATGGTGGTTGCTCACTATAATACCCTTTAGGTCGTTTAGGTATACATACATTGCGAATCTTTGCAGTGATCCGCGATAGAAATGCGCTACTTACAGCATCGATATAGTCGCAAATCGTTTAACTTTACGCACATGCGTTTCTAAAAGCTGCTTTTAGAAATGCATCAATCTCTATTCAATCGCGTTTTTATAAATTGAGAATTTTAGACGCGCGTTTGGTCGCTGCAAAAAGTTGCAGTATATCTAAGGTCTAATTTAAAGCCTGGTCCGTCAGCACGTAGAATCCTCGCTCGCACACTCACTGCGAGCGCGCGTCGCACAGTCGCGACAGCAATATAATTACGCGCGAGCGATAAGGATGGGTAGCTTGGGGTCATTGGACGGAATTCTACGTGCTCACGGACCAGGCTTTAGCCTAGGCGCAGACCACCGACTTTTAGTTGGCCGATAGTTGGTTCGGGCTGTTAATCAATATGGAGATGTATGAAAGTGCGTACATTACGATTTGGTATCGGTCAATACAAATTAGAATCCGGCCCAACTATCGGCCAACTAAAAGTCGGTGGTCTGTGCCTAGACTTAAGACAAAAATCCAAGTTTTTGCTTTAGGTATTTATTGTAAAATATCTCATCGTAGTTTGACGTGCTAGCGATTATAATTTAGGTTTAAAACTTACATAAACTAGGAACTCGCATTGACCAAAGCACTGTGTTGCTGCACTTGACTGTCACAGTTTCTGACCCGTCGAAAGTGTTTGACGTGCTCACTAGCTCGCCAAATCTTAGGGGTTGATTAACTGGAAATAAAAATACATTTCCATGGTTCATTATTCAGATAAGGTGAATAGGCCCAAACAAAAACGGTAGTAAATGGCCACCGTCAAAAAAGGAACTGCCAAAAAAGGCCACCACCAAAAAGGACCATTAAAGCAAAATCTTTAAATCCAAAATCCAACATTTTATTGTATCTGTCCTTAAATGATAGCAACAGTTCAGCATTGATTTAATATAAATTACGTTTAAGAATGATTTACCAACCTAAATTCCATTTCAATCCAGTAGTTGTTACATAACTACAAGTCTCTCCAATAGGAACTAATGAGCACCAAGCCCTTTTATGGAACCTTGTCTGTTCAGGGATGCTTATTATGTGCTCTCCAGGGCACAGGAGCCAGGAGACTGCATCATCTGTTATTATGTAAACCCTTGTGTTAGGACTAAGTAAGGCCTTTTCTGTGGCCAGAAATAGTGTTTGAATGTTCCCTAAAATCTGATCTAGTCTTCCAGAACTCTGACAGATAGTCAAAACATGGTCAATCTGAAAACAAACAAAAAATGCATTAATTAATGTAAAATAATATTTCATTTTGCATTGTAAAATTATTTTTTTATTTGGAATGATATAAAAAAATAATTAAGTATTGTTAGCCCATGAAAAAATAAACAAAACTCATTTATTTTTGCAAATAAAATTTTAGAAAGCACTTTTACACATCCCTGTATTAATCCTACCACTGCTTCGGGACAATAAATGGGCCAGTGCTGAGAAGAAGCAGCACAAGAAACTCAGTCACTTTTAATAAAAGATTAAAATGATACTTATTATCATACCTCCATATCAATTTGTTGGCAATGTTTACGTAGTTCTATCAATGCTTTGGTAAAGTCCGTGTAATCTTGGTCTGGTGTGTGTATCACCTGCGAAGAAACTTGAGTAAATATCAAAGGTTATCAATATTGACATAAATAATTATTTAAAAACATGATGATTATGCACAGATGCATGAGTAAAAATTACAATGTTACTGGTGGTATTACTATTTTTAATATGTGGAATATTATGTCTTCTTATTATAATGATCCCATGATTGTATGAATATGAGATGCATGCAGAAGAAAAGACTTGTAGAATCAAAAATTACAAAAGTTTTGTTCCCTGTCTTTCGTGCAAAATGTGGTAAAATATATACTTAAAATACAAGCCCCTTTGGAGGTTTATTATCATTTACTTTGAAACTACCTACATTTAGATTGGTAGAGGATTTAACCTTACAACTTTTTTTATATTTCTGTAGAATATCCTGGCCGATGGAGTCAAAATCTCCAGTTATCAAATCTGGGTATTTCATTGTGCTTTGTACATTTTCAGGTAGTTCTTTGAGAAATTTGTCCCATCTTGTTGTTCCACCGTCAACAGTCATTCTTACTAATGCTGGAAAGAATAATTATTGTCAGTTTTTAAATGAGTTTATAGAGTTTTATATAGAATTGTGAATTTATCATAGTTAGAGCAACTTACCATTATTCCATAGATTTGTGATGAATTCTTGTTTCTGTGATATTGGTCTGTTCAATATTACAATTGCATATTTGGCCTTCGTTTGAAGCGATCTTGTAATCAATTGTGTAACGTCCCATTTCCAACATCTAAGTAAGTTACAAGAAGTCCCACAGTTGTTGAGCTGCATATACAAGACATTAAATATCATTCCCACCTACAAAATAGTTTGTATAGAACTAGAATCTCGTAAAAAGAAAGGGGGCGTAATTTATCGATTCATTCGATTATCGAACACTATATTAATTCACGACATTAATGTGAACTTTGTACTATTTTTCGCACAATTACAACTCTCAAAAAGTAAGTGAATAAGGTAAATATTAAAATCAACGTAGGTATACAATAACTTGTCGGTGAATATACTAACCCTATTATTTAACATTGTATTATTTATGAAATAAGAAAACGCAGCTGCAATTCTACAGTAATTTACTGGTTTCTAATATTTACAACGTATAATTAAACTTTTTAGCAAACTTTCTTTCGGCAATTTTGGCAAACTGTTTTGCAACTTTTTGCAAGGTTAGTTTGACATATGTCATGGAGTCAGCTGACATTGACAATAAGTGTTGTTACCACAATCAAAAATTATAGTGGTCGTATCATGCCCACGGGCAGTCCGTCAAGGTCAAAAGTCAAAGTTGACGAAACTAAAGTTAAGCAAGCAAGATAATTATCTGTGGTCGTAGTCTTAGCTGATATTGTTGGTGAAGTGTGCTACGTTAATGATGATGTGTTTTTGGAATAGAATTCACAGAACGGTCATTTTGCCTGTGGGTAAGTCCGCGGGCAGGTGGGGAAATACTAAAAGCTAAATTAAAGAAAAAAAATTCTAGTCTATGCATTCTATTCTTGACATTGACGGAAATGACGGACGAATTTTGACAGCTTTGATTGGATAAAAAATTGTTGTGCGCTATCAATAAAACTTAATTTGTCGTTTTTATCGTAGGTTCAACCAATTTTATATTCTCATCATCATGAACAGAATATTTGGTAGAGGAAAACCTAAAGAACCTGGTCCTAGTATTACGGACTGTATCACCAATGTAAGTAATAGTGGTCATCATCCTACTGAAGTACTTTTCTTGATTGATGAATCATTAGTATTCAAATGAATAGTTTCTCTTTTTTATCTTTTTTACGAGATCCTGTAAGTGTGTTTGTATTTTATAGGTCGATGCCAGAGCAGACAATATCGAGCAGAAAGTACAAAAACTGGAGAATGAGCTTAGGAAATACAAAGATCAAATGAACAAGATGAGGGAAGGTCCTGCAAAGAACTCTGTAAAGCAGAAGGCTATGCGGGTCTTGAAACAAAAGAAAATGTAAGTTAATAATTTTGAAATTATTCAATTACTTTTTAAATTACCTTAAATCGAAAATTGCAATCAACGTTTATCGGAAATTGCATTAGATACTACCCCATACTAAATTCCAGGAAACTTTGTCATGTTTACTTATCAAATTAATTTTGCTAACTTGAACTGGATATAATTACATTAATGATTGCTCTAAATTTTGATTATAAAATTCCAGGTATGAACAACAACTGGATAGTTTGCGAGCTCAGTCTTTCAACATGGAGCAGGCGAACTACGCCACACAAACCCTGAAGGACACACAGGCCACGGTGACTGCGATGAAAGACGGTGTCACTCAAATGAAAAAAGAATTCAAGAAAATCAACATTGATAACATTGAGGTATGCTTACAATCTATCAAAAGAGTTCAAATAACTTATGAACTTGTCTCAAAATAACAATAGTTTCAGCCTTTTGTGGCATGTGGATAAGGAAATAATATTAATTCCTCAATCTATCGAGTAAATATAACATGTTCTAATACTGCCTATTTTAGGAATAACTTTTATTTTGCCTTTCTTACTGTTACCTTAAACTACATAATTATTACTGTACTAAAATGTGGAGAATAACAATAAATTATAGTCTAACTTGTAATATCTTCTATACTTGGGAGGATGAACTTTTTTATTTATTTATTTCCACACAATAATATATTAAATAATAAACTTAGGTAGTTTGGTTTATTAATTTGTAATTGTAACTTAATAACTACAATAAAACCTTTCAACCTTCTCTTCCAGGACGTAAACGATGAGCTGGCAGACATGTTGGAGCAAGCTGACGAGGTTCAGGAGGCGCTGGGCCGGCAGTACGGCATGCCGGAGATTGACGATGATGAGCTGGCCGCTGAACTTGATGCTCTTGGTATGTTTCAATACTTTTCTTTTGATAGTATAGGGATTTGGGATGTGGTAGCTTACTATGGGCCTCATAAAAAGGCTCAAGGTCACCCAAAGGGCGATGGAGCGTGCTATGCTTTTGATATCAACCTAGCAAGAACCAGAAATGTGAGACTAATGTGGAAATGGAAAATTGTGTTACACTCTGTAAAAGGTCTTACGCCTGTATTCACAAACAATGCTTGCTTATGTAAAGCAGCAAATTGAATGCACAGCATTGAATAGTGCTCTGTGATTGGTTTGTGTGTGAACCAGACCCTGTGCATCCACGCACACTGTGAGACCTTATAGTAATGTTTGTGAATACGGACTTTAATTTCAAGGGGTTTTTGTGAGTTGAACAGCATTTTATTTCAATCATGACTGTCCTCATGTAATCTCTTATATCTTGTATTTTTATAATTTTAATCATCATGTTATTAATGAGTCAACCAATTTATTTTTGGAATTATGTATTTAATTGACAATTTAAAAGGAATCGTAAGTTTTTGCATTAGTATCATCACCTCCTTTAAAACCACCATAATGAGGGTTTTCGCGATTGAAAAATCCGCCAGATGGCAATACGTAGACGCGAGGTCCAAATGCTGCATGATTGGTTATTTTTGACATGACATTGACAGATAATAATATGTCGAAATTCACCAATCACGCAGCATTTGGATCTCGCGTCTACGTATTGCCACCTGGCGGATTTTTCAATCGCGGACACCCTCATTGCAAATAGTAACTGCACTTTCTGTGGGGGTAATTGAAACCATGTTTGAGTAACGTAACATGTGTGAGTATTGAAATCATTCTGGAGTTAAAAGTCGCCTCTCGGTCTAAATGTTTTTAAAATAATGTAACAAAATTTAGATTTCACATAATTTCTTTAGCAACTCAGTATTGCCCATTTCTAAACTCAACATATTTGACTACTTTCTCATCTCTCTACTCATTGCCTTACAGGCGACGAGATAGCCCTGGACGACGACACGTCATACCTCGATGACGTAGTGAAGGCCCCGGCGGCGCCCGACAAGGAACCCGGCGCGGACAGCGTCCGGAACAAGGACGGAGTGCCCGTGGACGAGTTCGGACTGCCGCAGGTGCCTAGTGTTGTGCAGACGTCCCGTTAAAGTGAGGGTAGGTGAGCCTTTGTTCTTTGTGGGGCACAATGTGTCTTTACTTGGTAGGGATATAAAGGTCATTATCGTTATCATCAGGGTATTTAGTCTCTACTAAGCAGGGTACTCATCTAGCCGTGTACATGTAATGTATCAGATACTGTATCAAGTGAGTAGATTGGCACGAGCCCACTGCAAGCTGCTCGCGCGAGGTTCGCAGGGAGATCGTAGCGGCCCGCTGAGTGGCGGTATCACTGCGAGCACAAAGGTGGCTCGCAGTATGATCCAGGAGCTCGCAGCCAGATACGCGATGACCGTGGACGAGCCCTACTCACTTGAAGGTTGGTTATGTTACATGCTACGTTACGTGCTACATGGCAGGTGAGTACCCTGCCCTACAGGACGACGACCCTGTCTAATTTACCAGAGGCAAAAAAATGGGCATACAGTCACCATGCTAGTTAGACAGATTGAGGAGACCTGAGGCGTCTCATTTTGGTTGGGTTATAATGGTTACATTTGCGTTGCAACTCTTTGGCTGCTTTTCTTCTCAGCTACATCACTGGTATTGACGTTTTAAGCGTTGTAACGAGAGCCATCGTATTTTTATCAACAGATGGTTCCACAAGCGGGTAATGGCTTTCTTTTCATCTATAAATGTGATGCATTGTCATGATACAGACCAACGCCAACCTCAATCGTAAATGGATGTGGTAGTGGCGCCCACTGGTGTTCATTTCACTGATATACGACGATCATTCCTGTGTTTAATGCATATAAATGCCATCTTCTTTTAAATCACCATCTAACTTAGAATACATTAGAACAAAGACTCACCTGATGTTAGACATAGTAAGGTTACAGCAGTTCTCATGGCTTCAGAGGATACATGAAATTGCCTCAGCATAATGCTGTGATTTCTTTGTTATAGTAACTTCACCATGCCTACGCAAATATAATATAAATGTACATTTAAATATAAATTTAATATATCTTAAGTTTTATAATACAATTATGCTTTTTGTTGTAAACCAAGAATCACATCGCGTTAACCGCTTTTGTTACTTTAAATTGTGCAGTAATTTCTGTAGAATAAGATTTGGCAATTTTTTTACTGATCATGCATACTTTTTTGGTCAGGGTTCTCTTTAGTGATTTGATAATCAGATCAAATTAAAAAGGTTTAGGAGAGTATAGAGATTGCACTTTAACATAAAAAAGTCCCACCTTTTCTTTAGTCGCCTGATGTATTTGGAAGTTAATTAACGCAGGAAAACATTCCAGATTTTGTACAATAAAAACATTACAATGGTTTCAGACTTGATAAAATATACATTTACATATATCTGGTTATCGGATCACGACAATAATGCTTTCAAATGTATACGTAATTATTTTCCAGAATCATTGGTTCTTTTGAAATTAACTACTAATTATGTTCATAATTGTAAAGAAAATCATTATGTGATTGCAAATAGGAAAATATACTTTATTGCAAATTGCTATAAAATTATATTTGAATACATTAACAATAGCAACACAATTATTTGATTCTTAACACTTTCATCATTTACTTAGTATAGGTTCTAAAAAGTAAAAAAATTTGTTTAAAATTGTGTCTAATTGTTATGTAACTTTATGATCTTTAATAAGTTATACCTTTTTAAATCGTGTTTCATTTTAGAATTCCTATTCCTAGTGGTTTCTTTAGAGTTCAGTTACCTTTTAGTTCTGAATTAGTTATTTTTGGTCGTTGTCTAAGGCTGGGTTGCACCATTTTATTTTAACTTTAACAAACGTTAAAAATCTGTCAAACTCCATACAAAAAGCTTCAGTTACCGTTATAGTTCCGTTAAAGTTGGTGGTGCAACTCAGCCTAAGAAGGCATTATGTTAGTTAACTGACTCACACAAACAAAATTACAGAAGCTTTTTCTTTTGATCTAGGGGCTGGGTAGTTAAGTATTTGCGTTCACTTTGGCGCCACTGGCAAGTATGGTCCTTTCATTCTCCAGTGGCGCTAAATGCGCACAAGTATCGCCCATCATTAGTGAAAAAGTGTAAATAAAAATAAACACATAAGGCAAATAGGTAACCTTTAATAATAATAATTACAATAATTTAATGCATTATATTATACAGTCAACTCTAAAATACTGTTATGTTTGATTCTTAATAAGACGTTTGTATACTGCATCACAGTAACCCGGTAACATTAAACGGGCGCGTTCGAACAAAACCACATTTATTCACTATTTCTCGGAAAGTTGTCTCTGGTCCTCTCGGGGCCAGATGGAGTGATCCAAGTGGGCTAAGTTTGCCCAGCCGTGGGCTCACCTGGGAGTTTGCCGTCGGCCCTCCTCGCTCACAAATAAATACTTAGTCCTCAATATTTACATCGTAATGATATGTACAACCACATCTATATTGTTAACTCTACTCGACATACAGTCTAATTGCACTATCTAGTTTTCAATGACTCGTTGTTTAGTCTAGGGCTTCTTGGCCTGTCTTTGGCAAGAAGAAGCAGAGTATAGCAGCAACTGGAAGAGAAAAAATCGTGTTAGTATAATCTATATATATAAAAATGAAACCCGTTTCGCGTTGTCACGGCATCACGTGTGAACGGCTGAACCGATTTCGATAATTCTTTTTTTTTTAATGTTTGTGGAAGTCCAAGGATGGTTCTTACGGAAATAATATTAAGAAAATCTCTACGCTAAGGCGGTACGAAGTTCGCCGGGTCAGCTAGTTATTATTAAAAGTGCAGCATTTGGCTAATAAATAATGGCTATTCTGGCATAAAATAATGAGCTAAACCCTCAGGCATATCGCTGTCAGGATAGGGTTCCTTTTACGGTCTGCACTTTTTTGGTAATCAAGTGCTTCAGGTAAGAGAGATTAAAAGGGGTAAGTGAAGCACTTACCCCTTTTAATCTCTCTTGCCTCTTAAGTATTTTTTAATTACTAAGTTCTGTTAACCCTGAAAGGTAAGCTACTTGTAAATATGCTTGTGTTTCGAGTGGGTTTACCACAAACTGACTCGTGATCCAAGGAACGCGGGTTCGATCCCCGCCGCCGCTCGACTATTGTGTGGGGAACCCACTCGTCATCATTCGTCATCATCATTTCAGCCATAGGACGTCCACTGCTGAACATAGGCCTCCCCCAATGCTTTCCATGTTGGTCGATTGGTAGCGGCCATCGGCTCAAAGTTGCACCGCGTGCTATGGAGAGGGCTATGCTTGGTGTTTCTTTGCGAGATCGAATCAGAAATGAGATCCGTAAACGAACTAAAGTCGCTGACATAGCCCGACGGATTAGCAAGCTGAAGTGGCAATGGGCAGGGCACATAGTACGCAGAACTGACGGCCGATGGGGCAGAAAGGTTCTGGAACCCACTCGTAACACAAGCATATTAAAATTTAGCTAAACACGAGGGGTTAAAAATAACTGCAACTTACTGAAGAGGAATGCTGAGAAGACGACGATGGGCACGACACAGTTGATGTCGATGAGGTAGCCGAAGGACAGGTTGCCGATGAGACCGCCGCCTCGCCCGGCGGTCAGGGACAGTGCTGCTGCCATTACCCTGGTGACAAGGAAGTAAGTTTTGTTAAATTCATCCTACTTATATTATAAATGTGAAAGTTTGTGTGGATGGGGATGTTTGTTACTCTTTCACGCAAAAACTACTGAACGGAATTTAATGAAACTTTACAGTATTATTGTTTATAACCCAGATTAACATATATAGGCTATAATTTATGACGATCTGTGACAAATTAAATTTCACGCGGGTGAAGCCGCGGGCAAAAGCTAGTTATTATTTATAACCCAGAGTCCCAGAATAACATATAGGAAGGAATTTATGACGATATTAAGGTGAAGCCGCGGGCAAAAGCTAGTTAGAATATAATATCTATGTCTCTGCCCGTCAATTAATTATTTTATTCTTTTGTGGGTACCTAATAGACGCACCCACGTGTCCACGTCAATATCGGTTTTTGGTATTTGCCTATAAATGCAACTTAATTTAGAGTAGATAAGTAACTCATGTAATGTTTTTAAAGTTGAATGTTAACTACGTTTTCTCTGCGTCAATTGCATTCGTTATATTAATGTTGTAAGTAGGTAATGTGATAAGCTTACAGCTCTAATAGGTAGTAAGTGAACGTAGGTAGATCTTTTGTTTCAAGAGACTTCCAAATGTAAGCATGAGAAACTACAACCTAACCTAAATTTGTAGCTACAACCCGGTCGAGTAACTGCGCACCTCACTGGAATTTGACTCTGTGTGCGAGCACATCTCTCTGCTTTCGCCCCGTTCGTATCAGAGCGTCGATGTAACGTGCGCAGTTACGGGACTATTCCCACCTCTCGTTCCCACCACTGCAACTCCTGTGTAGCCAGGATCTACAGCTTGACCGCCACAAAAACCCAACCAATGAAGGTCAAGTTTGTCCCGGGGGAAAGTTAAACTGTCATTGGACCCGCAACGAAATTAATCAGAAGAACATAGGAGGAGTTCGAAATTAAGGTTCGACTTCCCTCCATTGCAAAGGGGATGACAAGTGACAAACAAAGGTGTGGTGCGCAGTTAACTCGACCGGGTTTTTAAGTTATCTGCAAAATCAGTCCCAGAACTGCTCTTACCTAAGGTTCGTAGGGAACAAGTCGACCAGCACACAAAACACAAGACTGATGGCGAGCGAGGTCAGCGCTTCGAAGATGCACGACAGAACCAGATTCTGTGTGGAGTTCTGCACGTAGTACAGGCCGACGGTCACCACGCCGGCGAAGCCCAAACTGAAGACTGGAAGAAGAAATACGTAAGTTACTATACAAATTTTAGACATTTGTTTTTATGAGCTAAGGCTTAGAGACTGGAACTCAGTCCTTTAAAACCAGTCCCCTTGGCAACGGGTCGGGAGAGGCCAACTCTAGTCTAAGGCTAAGTTGCACTAGCAACTCACTTTAACCATAACTTTAATAACAACCGGTATTTTTTGTGTGGAATTTGGCAGATTTTTGACGTTTGTTAAAGTAAGATGGTGCAACTTAGCCTGAGTACTAAATTCACCACGTAGGTACCTAATCTGTTAGATTTGGTTTTACTATTGCCTTAAAATGTTTCACGTATCTATTTAAATTAGGTTTTACTAACCAAAACTACAGCTTATCAATAGTACGTAAGTAACTAGCTACGATGAAAAAACAAAAACTGCAATTACCAACTAGGTATACCTACCTACCTAAATTTTCTATACTCAATCTCACCCAGTGGCACATGGCGCGCTGATAGACACTTGAACCCTAAGTATGAGATAACAGTTTCCTATAACTTATCTCTAACTTTCAGATGTTTTTATCTCTGATAAACTTTACGCACGCAATATCGCGTACTTCACAATATGTTTATCTGCAAAATTCAGTGGCCTTCAATAAAAGAAAATTTTGATATTTTCCAAACTCGACATTCCGTCTATCGGGCTTCATAATTTGTAGGAGGTACAGTAAATAGACAGTTAGTGACACTCAAAGTGGCCAAAAAGTTGACAACGAAACCGTATTCCAATTGTTACAATGACTTTGGCTACTTTGAGTGTTACGAACTATTTGACGCTGACTGTACCACTGCCACCGGTGACTACTTAAATAGGTAAACAAAATTCTCGTATCGACAACAACAAATTGGTAATCATTTGGAGCCCTAAAGGCCGCCCAACCAGTTAGCAATATAAGGCAAAGGCAAGTGGATAAAGTGGTTGCCACACTCACTGCACGCGCGTGTAGAGTTGACCTAGGAAACCGATTTGGTCTGACCTTGGGGGGTTTGCTGTACGGTCACCAGCAGGACTGTTTCATAACACCGATTCCGTATTTTCATAACAGTAAGTTAGAGAATCTGAGGATCGGACTTGCTAAGGAGTTCTATGTCGAGCTGTAGGTAGACTGACGACTTTTTAGTGAGCATTTGTCACCACGAATTAGTTGAGATAAACTTTTTATGAGCTGTCTTTTTTACTTCTTTCCCATCTTGCAAGCTCCCAAGCATCCCACTAACGATGCTTGTTTAATAGAAGCATCAAATCGAACGCACAGCGTTGAATAGAGCTCTGTGATTGGTTACTCTGTGTGTGCTCTGTGTTACCCTGTGCGTCAGGCCTCATAGTAGTGTTTGTGAATACGGGCGTGAAACAAAGCTCATGCATTGTACTTTTAATCCCAGCAAAAAAGATTATTCTATTATACTCACTCAGGAAGAATTTGGCTCCAAGCTTGTGCACACACAGCGGCAGCCACAACGACGTGGGAATGCAGGCCAGACCGACGATCAGGGTGTGCATATATACGCTGGAGTCGATGGTCTTCAGGCAATCGAAGGGATCTTCGGAAGCTTCATCGGCCACCACGATGCTAGACACATCGCACACCGAAGCAGAGGTGTTGGGGAAACGGTGCTCGAACTCTTCGTAACGGTTGAACAGCTCAGGGAACCAGATCATGAGGGTGTAGTAACTGGAAAGAAGAAATAACGTATAGAATTCTAAGTCGAACTTAGTTATTATGTTTGGTTCTAACTAAAAATTCCACCTCAAGCGTAAGGCCCAGAACAGACGGTGAAACGCAGCTGCAACGAAACTGCAACTGCTAGTTACTTTTGAG